CTTGCTCAAAGAAAGCAACTGCGTGGCAAAACTTTCATCACAAGAATTCTTCGCGGTAATAGATTCAGAAAACGCCATCGGAATCATTTTCACGAAGAGTGTTTGCAATAAAGAAAAAAAGCCTACAGCAGAAATTGTCCGGCATTGATTATCATCACTGATGCAAACAGCACGACAATAACTCCGTGAAACTCAGTCAGCGATGTGAAAATTTACCCAGCGGCCTATGTGCTTGTTTTTTAAAAAAAGCTATCAGATTGGTGGAAAATGCCCCCCTGTAGGACATATTGCAGTTTAAAAGATTGGAGAAGATAATAAAACAGAAGCAACTTCATTCATCTTACATTTGTCCTGTGGCTTGTGATGGAATTCTCAGTTTCGAATTCCCTTACATGACATCCAATGTTAATAACTCCACAAATGAGATCATAATTAATATGTGGCAAAGACTAAAGATGAGTATCGATGAATGGGCCTGGGCGTTCGTGAAAAATTGAGAAAACACAGGAATTGTATGGTACCTTCCTCTTTTTATAAAGAGTCATTACGAAATTGTTTAGCACCTCATGATTCAGAGAAAGTTTGATAGTGGTTCAGCCTTCTAATCACAAGCTTAACAAGCTCAATTACATAGGCTCATTTCCTGACCATGGCTGGTGCCCTTCCATGGGGGTGAAACGCAAAAGTAATTACGTTTTTACACCCATGTCACACGGACAGTTTAAATACAGTTATGCTTAACCATAGTTTACAGTGTTGACCACAATTAACATTAACAAATTTAACCAATGCTGTATAGGCTCAGTTTAGCAAACCAATGCAACCAGGTAATGATCACTTGAGTGAAATATAGAATGGAAGCTTTGTGGGAAATAATTCAGAAAAAAACTAAAAATGTATACACACGTGTATACACATGAATGCAATATTGCAGTCCATGGTGCGAAGACCATTGTTGATACGGAAGCCAACATAGACTTTAAGATGGAGGCTTAGAATTTAGGCCGACATTTGCCATTTTCAAGAGTTCTCACAACTTGAACAGTGGGCAGCTACTGTGCGTCACTGTCAATCAAACAAACATCATGCTCAACGCAGGATTGTAGAGCTCTTATCAGCAGCTGGAGCACTTTCTCCTGGTAAATATTCCCTTTGAGCATACTCACAGCAAGTTCCATGATCTAAAACAGCCCTTGCAGAGCTCCCCGACAGTGTATACATAAAACGTCTTTGCGCCATGACATCTTCAACTACAATTGTCCGTGTCAGTAACCATACAAGGCAGTTGGACACGAACAAGTAAAAGGCGATTCCCAAAAAAAAACCACCTGCAGCGTCTAGCCAGTTAGCGTCTAGCCAGTTAAAGCGTTGTAAGCTTATTTTCGAAGGATGACGATAGTGTCTTCCATCTTGTCGACTTTTCTATTTGTGAGTTCCATAGTTGCCTAGCTTGGGGTGCAATTGTGGAACGATTCTGTTCCTTGTTCTGTGCTTTTGGCCGCCATTAGCCATCGGCGATGGGTCGAAACGATCAATTGCTGATGGCTAATTGCCATGATTCAACCAATTGCAGACGGTTAATGGCGGCAAAAAGCATAGAAAAAAGGAATAAAATCGTACCGCGATTATACTCTTGGTTTGCAATAACCACAGTCAAGAGACCCACAGCGGTTACGTTCGCTGCGTAGCTACCTGTAAACTGTGGCTAGACATAAACTGTAGTTAGCATAACCACGTTCAAGGCTACCTGTTACATGAAGTAACAGATTCAGCAGTAGATGTCAACATAACGCTTGCTAGAAAGGTGCACAGATCAAGAAACCATAATAGCGACATAATGAGCTCTTAATGATGCCTAACACACAGAATCCTCTCAGGATTGGCCACTCCAGCACATGGACGCAGCACGGAAGCAGAAGCCATCAACAGGCTCCACTGAGTGTCATCCTGGCGAATTTTACGTTCATTTGGATAAAAAGCTTTGGCAATTATGCTTCCGAGGGCCCAAGTGGATCAAGCAAACCGGAACGATAGCAGTTGTGCACGTTTTTCAAGGTAATAAGGCAGAAGTGGCAGGCATTCATGCTTTAACGTTTGTTTTGACACTTATGACATAAAATTTTTATAACTGTAGCTGCTAGACAGCATTTTTTTTTTCGTCTTTGCCTGATAGCTCTCCCCTATAAATAATTGGTCAATAAACTGCGGTGAGATCTTCAACAGACCAATATTTATTTCTGTGGAAAGATCAAATTCTTATTCTCTTCTGCCAACAAGAAAGCTTGCTATGGTAGCTGGCTATTCATTTTCAATATAGCATTCCACAGTATACAGTGGAGAGAGAAAATCTGCAGGTGATGTGTTACATGTGTTTAGAAACTTGATATGTCACTATTGCTTGCGTGTTACTGGCTCTATAGGACCAGGTTGCTGGGCCACTAGAAATGATGCTCACCCAACCACACTGAGAAGCAGTCCTAAGCTATGCCATAAATAATGACACATGAGTCTACATACATCTACATTCCATATAGTCTCACTTCCTGCAATCTTCAACATAGTTTCTTTTGGATATGGGACAGCTTCCACCCCCAAAACTATTGCACGCAAAATCATCAACAGTGCGGACTTGTGATACTTTCTTACTGAACGCAAAACCACCAACTCTGTGGACTCAAGTTACTTTCTTTGAAACACATATTTCGACAAGTCTGCGCTTTCCAGCATGCAAAGTAAAACATTTTGGTCACAAGGACAAGCAGTGCTCTATAGCCACAGGCCACCAAAATATTGGTTGACTAGTTTACGGGGCAACCCATCCCCAGACTAATCAGACTATGGAAGACTCCACAGTAGAACAGATACGGATAATTTCGAACACCTGGTGTTCTTTGACATGCACTGGCACCACACAGGTCTCTAACATGGTGCCTCCACTGAACCGAGATTGCCAAAACAGTAACCAGTCGGACACCATTACGGCTGGCCGCCAGAACACACCATTTAAATTTTTTTTGGTAACGAATGTAGACTTAGAGCTGTTCGTAGGTACTCAATAAGTAATATTTCGCAATGTGATAGCATAAGACAATGTGACATAATATCATAATGAACTCCTATACGTTCGGCAATGTGCAATGTCACAGTCAAAAGTGTGTGTAGGCTCTCACAATGTTCACAGCATTGCTGGCCACATTTAACGTAAATGCAACATGCATTTAATGTGCGGCAATACTTCGCTTAAAGAGATACTGACATGAAAATTTTCAGCTGTCGTTTTCCTGCGTTTAGAAATGTACTGCTCAGTGTGCCTGTACCCTGAAAACATAATTACAGCGTGATACTGAAAACTTTTGGTACCACAAAGTAGTTACAGTGCGTTACTGAAAACTTTTGGTTCCTACTATGCCCCAACACTGAAATACGATACTAGCTTCTCGTCACGTGCAAGATATTGTGAAGTTTCCACAGTTCCTCGGCACCATGGCTCCATTGGTGACATACGAGCAGCCACTTTAATGTTTTGGTGATGCCCAAGTGGCTATTTTGAATGTTTTGGTACCCGACGTCATCACAAGTAGCCAGAAGACTGCTGCACGAAGTAGCCAGAATTTGTGCTGTGTACCCGAACGTCAAGCTAGAGTCGATGTCAGTAGGTGCACTCCAGGAAAATTGATCTTGATATCAAAACAAAATGTCTTACCAGCAATTGCTATGCATCACACTTGCTCAGAGCTGCCTCTGTATACAGGATGGCAGTGTAGAAACACACCTCCGAAAAATGGTTTCAGTATTCATTTAATGCCAGTACAGATGCAGGTACACTAATACCTCGGGCCATTGCGTTCGGTGATTGAGCTTTGCCTGCAGATAGCGTATTTCACACAGAGGAGCCTGGCATCTGCAGTTAAGGATTCCGGTTTCATGCTTCAATCACCGTCGCTGTATTCTTTCATTGCTCAGCGCCCAACTCACATTTCCAATATTATTATGGAAGACTGAATGTATTGTTACACTTGATGAGGACGTGACAACCACGATATGCTAAAACCGGCAATTCGGGGTGTGGATCAGTGCTTTGTGCAACAATGTTGAGACTACAAAGAAGGCAAACTACTTGCAGTAGTTTCTGAAGCAAACATTACAGCGTGTGCGGCATGTGTAAAGCGTTCAAGTTGACTTTGCAATGTGTCATGCAGCCATTTTGGCAGTGCAATTGAATACATCCACAGCAGTGACAGACTCGGCCATAACGTATCTCCACGCAACATTGCTCTCGCAGTTAAACAAAGGAGCCCAAGTTAACGTGAAATACGGCCACAGAGCAGCGTTTCTGTTACTTCGCATATTAAAAGTAAAGCACTGTTTGTTTACAAGCGTTATTGGTAGACGAATCACGAGACTTTCGAAGGTGTTGAAGACGCTGTCCGTACGCAAAACAGAAGTACCATATTATCAAGGGCATGTAGGTCACAGCACTCCGATGGTTATTCACAATAGATTGCGCGACGCAGTTTCTTGCGTCATTTTTTTTCCAATATTTAAACTCAATCACTACTTCGTCGTGATTTGCGAAAACATAACTAAACGCGCCACAACGTTTATCAGCCGCGTCCGATCGTCGCTGTCGCTTTGTTTACAACGCAACACATCGGGTCTAATACGATGCCTTCGAAACCCTAGTGCAGCGCTCACCTATGGTTATTACTATTATTTGCAAGAACACATTGCGCTCTCGTACGGAGGATGCCGCCGTGGCCGCGTTTAGCATGCCCGCAACAACGGCAGACTCGACACGTGCGCTACGTGACGCGCGTTTCTGGAGGCACGCGCAACGCCACGGGTACCGAGAAGTACGAAGCACGTGTCGGCTGCACAAGCTTTAGCTATAGCTCACGTCACGTGCAGTCAAGAAGAAAAAAACGTCCCTTTTTGAAAGCGCAACGCTGGCCCTGAGGGCTACCGGTGCGAGCGAGGTGGCGGTTCGCAGTGCGGCGCTCTCACGGACGTGCAAGCTGCTGCCCGATCGCGCGATCTACGACGACACTGTGTGATTTTTTTCGTGCAGGGCAACTCACCGGTGGCCTGTACATGGGAGCGGCGATCTGCTGCGGGTAGGAGCCACGGGCCCACGGCGAGTACTGCTGTCCCACGTCTGCCATGCCCTTGTGCATGGAGTTGTACTCGCCGTAGCTGTTCTGGTAGCGATGTAGCGGGTTCGGCGACTGCAGCAGCTGATTGAGCGTAGGCGTGGGTCCACCCTGCTGGCTCAGGCTCGGTCCCGAGAGGAAACGTTGCGGCGGTGCACCGCCACCGTTGGCGCTCGGCGGGTAGCAGGGCATCATGGAGCCCGGCCGCTGCGGTCCCCCCATGGGCCCCATCGCGGCCCGCGGGCCCTGCGGATAGCCGGGCCTCATGTGCTGCTGGTTGTAATGCTGGTAGAGCTTGCTCTGAGCAGGGTCGTTGGCGTTCCCAGGTAGATTGGGGCCGCCATGTTGGCTCGCCATGTAGCCTCCCCGGTCCGCATACCCCGTACCGTAACCGGGCACCGGAACGTGATTCATGCCATCCGGAGAGTTCCGGAACTCCTCGCCTCCCATCACAGAATCCCTCAGGTTCGGATTGTAGGCTCGGAAGTCGGAACCGAGTCGCTGTCGATCGGCAAAAGCAGCCGGATCGCCGGCGACAGCGCTAGGCCTAGCGTTCAGCTGGTGGGTACCTCCATCTTGGAAGTTATCCATTGTCAGTTCTCGGCCGATGTGTCCGCTGGCGTTGCTCGGAGATTTCACCCGGTTGTTCACCATCACGCCAGCCGGAATTTCGTCCGCGCTGAGCTCTTCGCCCGAAGCACCATTCTTGAGTCCTCCGCCGGATCCGGGAGGAGGCAGCTCCGCGCTGTCTGCCGTTTTTTGTTCACAATTCAGCAGGCTCTGCGCTGGCGCTGCCATACTGCCACTAAGCCCACACCCTGAACGGTCGCATCCTCACGCGGCGCACGTAATCCGGCTCCCCGGAGGTCCGGCGCGCATCTCGGACCTCGACGATGCTCACAGTCACCACGTGTTTTGGCTTGGAAAGCCGCAAAACGATGCTCACACGGGCATGGCCTTATCAACCGCACGCACACAATTATTCTGGCCACTTCGAAAGCGGGAACATCTGTGAGAAGGAAAGTAAGGATAACCAAGTCCCTCCGCACGCTTGTCTCGTCCACACAGGGTCACAGATCACCGTCGATGTCCACTTGATCCAATAATCCACTTCAAATAGTTGGTCCGACTGGCACAGAACACCGCGCATCGACCCGCAACCGACATAAATTTTCGACGCGAGGGACTACTTTTTTGCAATTAACCGCGGCCGCGGAAGGAGCGCATCGCGGGGGGCGCTGCGGACCGGTATTTTCGCTCGCTACAGCAATAACCAACCTTTTTCAGCCCGGAAAAAATGCAGCGAAGGCTCCAATAAATGCCTCTTCAGCCCTACGTCCACTCTTCGAACACCGTAAAGCTCTCTGGGGTGATTAACAAACCAAAGCACTTGCGACAACACCGCGCAGTGACTCATGTGCGAATACTGCCGACGGTGGCTCTTTTTGTGAACTTTTTCCCCGCTTTGCCGTTTCGGGCCAAATTTTCGCGCGCTGTCAGCCGTCAAATACGTCAAGACGGGCCACCTCACGCAGTGATCATGAGCGCATAAACCTTTCTTCGCGTCGATGGTCAGCCTAAATGCGGTGTAATGCCAGGAAACGCGTCACTCAGGAGGCTGTGACCCGCCGCTGCGGGCCAAACGCAGGCGGCGCCACCGTCCAAACGCAACGATCGGCCGCTCCTCGGTCAATACGTCGGAAAGCCTTGCGCCCGGCGAAATCCACGCACATGAATCGCACTGGCCGATCTGCATCTCAAGTTGTTTTTCCCGCTAAATCGTTTATCGCCAGGGGAGGCGTGGTATTCGCCGGTGCCCCTCGTGATTGCGCGCGCCGGCGTTTCCTTCTGGCTTCTCAAGGCGTCGAGCTGTGACGCGCTCCGATTGTTACTCTTTTTTTAGTATTTTCTTTTTTGTTGTTCTTGCCTCCTTTGTCTTTTTTTTTTTCTGGAGCGAGGAGAATCGGGCGCGCTCACACTCTGCTGCGCTCGTAACTGTCATCGTTGAGGAGGTTAAGCGCAAGTAGTCGCGATTCGCGCGGTTTCTTTTCCAACCCCGCGCGCGTGGCGGTCGAGTTTAAACTCTTGTAAGAAATAATGCGCCCCTCCTTTATTGCGACATTAAATAGCACAAGCGCGCATTGCGTCGAATTGAAAGAGCCTTTTGAAAATTGCGCCAGGAATTTGCGAACATTTTTCTAGACTCGTGACGTGGTACGTTTACGGCCGGGTTTGCGGATGCAGAGGCGCAACGAGTCTCAGAATCACTAAATTCGCGCAAATCGAATCGGTTTATGAACATCCTGTCCCCATCACAATTTGTTATTTCCTCAAGTTCTAGCCTGTGCATGTTTCTATTGAGCAATGCACTTCCTTACCTTTTGACTCAAGATCAAAATATGCGCCAATGTTACGCTGTAGACTCAACAGGGCCACGAACACTTGCCAGGAACTGACGTTCAAACCCAATTTGACATAATTCTGTCCAAGTTTTTTTTCTTTCTAGTCTCCCGTCAGGATCTCAATAAAGTTTTTTGTCTGTATGTTGCATTTTGTCGACTATATTCATAGTTAATATGCAATCACACACACACACACATCCAAGGAGATGTTACCATAGTTTATCATTGCTAAAGCCACAATCATAAAATGCATGCAGCAATTTGTTCTGCAAGCGAACTTGCCTTAGAAGGTCAGCTCAACTAAACGAGTTCAAGGTTGGGCAAGAATAAAATCAACGTAGAAAGCAATCCATATAGTACAATAAATAGTTTATTTCAGTCCGTGAATGATGTAAACAAAGCCATGATACAAAACTCCCACCTAAACATACCATAAAGTGCTGAGAAGGTGAAAGTGCAACACACAAAGACAAAGTGAATGCAAGACAAAACGGCTATAACTAGATTTCTTGTGCGACAAATATGACATGAAAATCGGTATTTCACGGCACATAAGTCAACACACACACGTCAGTCAAATATAAGTGACCTAACTGTAAGGTCTCCTATTTGTTGCTCGGAACATTGCATACATGAATGGTCTATGACCGAAACCAATGCCACCTGTGATTAATCATGAAGTTGATCTGTGCCATGTGATAATGGCTACACGATCTATGCTCACTAAGTGAGTCTTTTTGAGTGTTGATGGGCAAAATAGAGATGCTGAGAAAACACAATGCTGATATGTACTAATGATCTTTATACAATGTCCCTTGAGGCAGTGATTCCAAACCCTGAAGTGTGGCCAGGAGACCGTTTCAGCTTACTGAACGGCCGCTTCACAAGACAGCCATGAAATTAACCATGAAACTGTACCAAAGTAAAAAGAAAGATGAAATTGTGTACGATAAACACATGCACTGGATACCAACAGAAATAACTGAAACTGCAACCACACTCGACTAAACCACCTTGAGGCACATTCGGTTGGTTCCTAGCACACTCGCACTCTTTGATACGACACGGCCGAAACTTCAGATTAGAGTATGAGAAAGGTTGTCCATGAACAGTGTCAAAGCAGCCACATGACCTGAACTCAAGCCCTCCTCGAGTGCACTTTCGGGTTTAAGGGAAAAAAAAAAAACCATCTTTGGGCATATGAGAAGCAAGCATGGCGCTCTGAAAGAACGACGCAATACAGGTTCGCAGCTCTCCCCTTTGGCTGGCCGACCGTACAGTTAAAACCAGTGTGAAATTTTAACCCTGCCACACGTTTCACAACCACACCATTGTTAAAAATGAGACCATAGCACACACCAGCAACAATGTCTTGACAATACAAACAGATGCATGCAAGTCTACACAGACGTAACGTGGGTGTGTGTATGTATAATGAATAAGAATTTTATTTTATTACAGCAGGTGGGAGCTTCTATGGGCTGCGCTCTGAACACAAAACAAACAGTATTAAAAGTGTACCTGAAGCAACCGTGTTCTCTTACACAAGCGTGTTGTAGAGTTACACGAGATCGGATATAAACGAGTGTACTGCCAGCCTCACTTCGTGTATCAACGCCGTCACTACGCACGAGCCTTGCTGTAATCATTTACTGTGGCCACGCCACTGGGCACTTGGTTACTTAGCAAACGCATGTTACTACAATTATTACTGCTCCTAAAAATGCTAGCCTTGCTTCGTAAAAAATTCGAATATGTTGCTATCTCATTCATTGCTTTGCCCTTCTGCCAAAACTGACTTTTTATATATAGACTACAGAAGATAACCTATATCTCATGCACACTTGTGAAAGTTGCACAAAAAGGTTTAGGAGACAATTTATAAAACTAAACTCAATGCAAATGAAACCATATGGTTACGATTTCACCTCAATATACACCCACCGATTGCACTGCTTAAACGAATTAAATGCAATCCTTATTCAAATCAGGCCTTGAAAAAAAGAAAACCTAATTGAGAGCCAACGAAAAAAAAAAATCTACAAGTCGCCGTACTCTTTGGCATCTCTCAACACATAACAACAATTAAGATAAAACGTGCACTTCGTTTGAAACACGCAGGGTTCGACAGAATGAATAACATAGAAGAAAAAAGTGCACTTCATGCATGTCAAGAAACAGTTACATAATACAGTATCCACGTCAGAGTTCAAAGCTTGACAAAACACATGCATACATTCTATTGTTATTTTTTAACACAAGCATGCACACACCTTTAAAAAAATTAAAATGGTTCAGTCACAGCTACAAGATCTTCTACCACATAAACAGGCAGTTAGCAATTTGGTCCTTCTATTAAAGGGCCTCTAAATCACCTCCTATATATTTTGGCACATTAAGTTCAAACTGCAGTAACAATCAACAATTAGCAAAGTGGCGACACCACACATCGAAAGGGTACCACGATAAAAAAGGAATCTCGTGCTTCTCTTGCAGCCTTTACGGCGCGCCTAACGCTGGCCGTGTCACCACCTGGTCGTTATAATGTGACATCTCTTGGGGAGGACACTGTTAATTGGGTGACGAACCTGTTACACATGGAATTCCCCTACTGCAGTTCCTTTGCAAAAAAAAAAAAAAATGCTCGCAACATGTTCTTCGTAGCCATGTGCACTATTGAAACTAGACAACTATATTCCAACATCTGGGTGCTTAGGGCCCCTTCATGGTTTTACTTCCAGGCCCTGCTTAGCATAAGCCTATTAAGGTTTCTTTCTTGCTATCGTCCATGAACCTACACATCATGAGCTCAAGTTTAATAACGTATGGGGTTTCATGTCCCAAAACAGCGACAAGATTAAGAGACACTGTAGACACTGTGGGCTCTAGAAATTTTGACCATCTGGTGTTCTGTAACGTGCACTAACATTGCACAGTACATTGGCCTCTACAATTTCACCTCCATCAAACACATATCAAACACACGACCTTCGAGTCAGTAGCCAAGCCCCCTGGCCACTGATCCACCAAGGCGGACATGCTCGTGCTTAGAGACCACTTTATTAATTCATATGTGGGGTTTAACGTCCCAAAACCACCATTAGATTATGAGAGACATTGTAACTGAGGGCTCCTGAAATTTTGACCACCTGGGTTTCTTTAACGTGCAATCAAATTCTAGCACACTGGCCTAAAGCATTTTGGCCTCCATAGAAAATGCAGTCGCCACAGCCAGGATTCGATCCCGCACCCTGCGGGTCAGCAGCAGAGTACCTTAGCCACTAGACCACCACGGCGGGGCTTAGGGCCTATTTCAACTTGCTTAGTGCCGTTTATATGCACGTTAAGTTTCTCACCGCCCCTTCCCTACACAAATGGAACTGCTATAGCACCAGTTCCATTAAAGAGAGGACATGTCATGTGCTTAGTGCTGGTCTTTTACCTTCAGTGAATGCCTACAGTGAATGAAGCGTTACAGCGTCCATCGCAGTTTGCCTCCTATGTTGGCACGGCAACCATCAGGCCTTGCTTATATTTACAAGGGATCACGTGTATGCACTTCGCGAATCCTTTCCAAGATGCCATTTACATGCAACTATACACGCCTGCACGTTTTTATTTACACCAAACAAGACTTTCGTCACACACTTTGTAAATCTAGCCCGTTCAGCGAATTTCAAAATTCTTAAGGCCTTGCAACTTCCTAGTGTAGCAGCTACACAACACAAGTTCCTTATCCAGAAGCTTTCTCAAAATGAAGATATGCAGTCTGTAAACACACCTCAAGCAGAGGCAGGTCTCTTTTAATTTCGACATTCAGGGCTTTTTAGGGGCGAAGCACATTGACACTTCACTGTGTTCTTCTCGGGGCAATCCATGCCTTGTTACACACAGTCTGTCCGTGCATAGGTCTTTCATACTACATGGCAACTTCAATGTAGACATTACGAACCTTACGACCACTCTTTGCCCACTCGTCATCATTCGCTGTGTGAAGATGCGTGGATTTTTTTTAGGTGCAACGCTCCTTAGGGCTGCACCTGACCGTCGCCTTTGAAGCTCCCTATGCCGCGCAAGCACGCCGAGCCAAACAACAGATGCACACTCTTGGTGTAACGGGAGCACGCACTTGCTGTTAGGCATGCTATTAGCAAGCAGCATGCTATTGGTGAATGGTTGACATTGTTTGGCCAGATGAACTTCTTGCAACATGCTAGGATGCCGGCGTGGCGCTCTGTAGTCTGCCAACATTACAAAGTGAGCCACACTCGCACAGAGGGATCTCAATGGGAGAGAAAGATTGCGTTTCATTACGCACACTTAAATTTTGCAGCAACCGATTTGTTTACGGAACAGTGATGCTGAGGTCACTCGACGATTATTTCGAAAAGTGTTTCATGACCCCTTCAAGACGCTATAAAGAGCCAGTGTTCCATGAACTGCACGTCAATACCTCCTGTGCAGAGACTGAAAGAAGTAAGTGCAATGCAGTTTTAAACCAATCAAATACCGGCAGTTTTATTTTGTGAAGCATAGCTGCCATAGCTTTCACAGATCTGCCAGTTTTGCATTTTCTCCAAAATTTTATCTTTGGCGCTACACAGACGCTACCATGGCACACATGCAGAAGGCAACCATTGAAGCACAAAACAACAGCCATTCACTTTACTTTTAAAAACAGATAAAACAATTTCACCGAGTGCCCATAAAAATTCCTCTATAACATTGGGTACACATAAATTTGTACAGTCAATATGAAGGTGGTGAATGCGACAGCTTTTTTGAACAAGTAACAATTTCAATTTCGTTGCTTCGCTCGTCCAGTGATGATGTTTACTCACAACAAAAGAACTGCGCAAGACTCGTATAAAATTACTATTTACAATGCAAAATAAATGAAGTGCAGTAAACCTACCTTACAGTCTCTCAAAATACAAACAGATGCAAAGAAAAGCTGCTACCTACACCCCCAATATAACAGACCTTAGACAGGTGTCTTAAAACCAGCCCTGTACAAATTTTCACAGACAAGCAGAAAGCACAAACTGCCCACAACGGTCATCAGACATTGTAAGGTCTCGTTGGCAAGCGACAGTCTACACAACACTGCAGGCAAGTTAACAAGTGTCACGCAATATACTACAGCGTATCATCGCACCTCAGCACTGCAATAACCACACTGCATTATAGCAGCATGTCACACACATTAAAGCTGTCGACGAACTTTTTTACTAAACCGGCTCACACAATAAAACTAAAACTATGATGAAAAAATGAGGGGCAGGTATTTTGCACTGCTTTCCGTTCAGCAAAACCTTGATAAACGAAGTTGTGTCAGACACTAAAATACAGTCCACATATACTAGTACTATATTCGTCATAAGCATACATTGTCAACGTGCTGATATCACCGAGAAATATTTACAGTTTTTGTGCTTCACTATATCAGCATATACTGCGGTTCGACGTTTCTTGAAGCACAGGGAAGGCCATAGATGTTGTCCACCAACAGTAAAGGCAACTGTCATTGAGAATGCGGTCATTTGCAACTCATCACATGCTTGGATATCTGCCTACTGCCAAGTGCTAGCAGTTCTTTTCTTCAGTGGAATTCACATAAAACATGCCGCACTGTACCGAAGGTGACCGCATAAATACGCTTTTTGGTTCTAGAACCACCAGAGAGCTCTCTGAATGACAGCACGTTTCTGGTCTGGTCAGGTCACTTGACCAAACAGTGGCAAACAAGTATATGCTAACATTTCCAAGCGTTGCAGTCTTCTTGCTGATGGAACTTGTAGTCTCTTTAGTTGCGCATTCATTACAGAGATTTACTACACTGATGAGAAGACTTGCTTTTGAGCAATGCCACAGTGATAGCGCACCCCTATTCCTAAGACCCACTGTAAAACGAACTGTTCTTAACCGAAAAAATGACATTGCTGTCCCATTCGAGAGTTGTATTTTTCTTCTCGAGTTGTACAGCTTCTTACATCCTGAATAAAAATAAGCGATGTCTAGTTTGTTAACAAGAACATATAAAACTACTTTCACTGTGTCTTTGCACCTCTGTATATACACAAGAGTCGTTAGAATGTTACCTCAACATTCCTATGCAAGTCAATGTGTGTATCGTGGCTGTATATATGAGCAAACGGTGTTTAGTTGCAAGCACACCATGCACCACATAACCACAGTCTCAGAGTATCTCACTGCATTGACACTGCTGCAGGAACTGTATCGAAGCACTAGACAAACAAGACCCATGTCATAACTCGTGACATGTTCCAGAGACGTTAAAGCGGCAAAAATCCTTTCACAGACCCCTCACTATGCCTTAAAAAAAAACTTGAGCACAAAGACAAGAGCACTGATGAAAACACCAGTAACGTTCCGTTCGTTAGTCCCATGATCTCAATGCCTGCCCAAGCCTAAAATTGGAAATGCATTGAGCCAATGTGCTATGTCCTTTCGTGCTAGGCATGAGCATGGTTCTCCCGAAGCTGCAAAGGCAGCAAGGAAAGTTTGCAAACACTTAAACACTCGCAGTCTATACTCTGTGCATCATTGCTGCCTTGACAGTCCCATCGTGATGACACAAGCAATAGAAAACGCAGAGTTTCGTAGCCGTCTCTGAGCAAGCGAGCAAGCCCTCCTAGCGGCAACCAGAGATGTCATAGCTGCCGTCTTCAACATGAACATGGGTGAGCACGGGCAAAGGTCCATTGGGCTTCCCACAAATCTGCTGCACGAAGGGCTGCGACAGGCCGCAGTCCTTGAGTGCCTCAGTCGCAAAGGCGGCAGGTGCAGCCTGCGGCTGAGGCTGGAAGGCATTGAAGGCCGCCGTGGGAGTGTCGGCCGATGCCACGAATGAGAAGGCGCCCTTATCCTGGCTGCTTCCAAACAGGGTACACAGGCCATGCAGTGCGCTCGGAAGGATGGGTCCGCTCATCTCCACCATGTGCATGTCCGTGTTGTTTTGCTTGACCCAGCCTTGCCGCACCTAAGGATGAGGGAGACTGCGCATTAGAGGGTGCTCTTTTTTTCTAGGGAGTTTCAAGCAGTGCTGATTTAGTCAAGAGTTCTAACAAATAACATCTGGGGTTTTACATGCCAAAACGCTCAATATAATTATTAGGCAAGCCGTAATGAAGGGCTCCAAAAATTTCAACCATCTGGTGTTCTATAATAAACACTAGCATCGCATCAATGTCTCTGTAAACACTGGCATCGCATCAATGTCTCTGAGGCTTGCTGCAATCGCATACCCAGGACTCCTGGTTACTTCCGAATGGAATGTATGTTTTACCAAAACTATGTCAACAAAGTACATATCATCTAGATGACCTTGCACGTCAACTTAAATGCAGCATCACCACCTACATCTCAAATCTGTGTATTGTTGTGCCACAGACATGTTCCTCGTTCGGGAGCACGTCTCACAAGATCGAGCCCTGTTTCGACAAACTGTCTCCCCCCCCTCCCAGCGCCGCCTTCCGTGCAGAAGAATCGTGCAGTTCCGGGGATAACGTCGCTTCCTCCGCCGAACCACTTTGCAGTTCCGGGTATGGCTACGTCTCCCCCTCCGAGCCCGAGAACTGGTCTGAGAGAATGGACCAAAGACGCTATTTAAGGCCGAGCCGGCCCCATGTTAGAAGATTTTGCCCCAGCCGACGTTGTCGTGCTGGCCGGCTCTGTACAAACGACAACCTGCTACAGTAAACACTACTTTTGTTGCTGTTTTCAAAACGGATTGCCTCCCTGTTTCGCCTTCGGGCTAAGGCTTCAGCGAAGTCCGCTCGACGGCTCGCCGCTCTTCGCCACCGCAACCATCGCGACAGAGCAAAATTCATAACAGTATATTATGGCTTATCAAATTTCTTTCGACCCTGCATGACATTCCCTGTATTGGCGACATTGTTCACCATAATACAGCTCAAGTTATTTTTGTGTAGTGTCTGTTAAAGCTCCTTATGACCGAAATACTGTTAAAAGCAGAAAAATTGCTGTTAGCAGTTTTTCCACCAAGCGGGATGTTATGAGCGTAAAATCATTTACTGCATAAATGACTTCAGCATCTTATACAAATGAAGAGAGTAGCCAGGTTCTCACATTTCTTGACGGAAGGGGCACTGATATTGACACAAACGAAGGCATCGATGTAATGAAGTGGCTTAACATGATTAGCAGAAATCTATACACTCTATGCGCATTGTAACAGATCCACATACAACAGGCTTTCGGATGCAACTGACTATCATTTGCCTAGGTTTAGCCTTTGTACCAAATTAATGGACAGAGGGTAGCTTTTAACAGACTGGGTTACTATGAACCATCGGCAAGAGTGAAAAAATTAGTACAATTTTCCCCCAAATTTGGCGCAATAAAGAGTACTCTTGTCATTTGGCACGGGCTGAGAACAGACCTCACCACACCACTCTCTGCACACAAAAACCACGGTAATTTAGAAGGCTAGCTTTTAACAGACTGGGTTACTAGGAACTATCCGCAAGAGTGAAAAAATTAGAACCATCTTTTTTTTTCAAAGTGGGCGCAATAAAGAGCACTTTTCCCATGTTGGCACGTGCTAACAGACTTGACCACACCCCTCTCTGCACACAGAACCCACAGTAATTTAGAGTTTTAATAATAATATGTGGGGTTTAAGTTCCCAAAATCACCATATGATTATGAGGGACGCCGTAGTAGAGGGCTCCAGAAATTTCGACCACCTGAGGTTCTTTAATGTGCACCCAAATCTGAGCACATGGGCCCACACCATTTTTGCCTCCATCGAAAATTCAGCCACCTCAGCTGGGATAAGATCACACGACCAGCAGGTCAGCAACGAAGTACCCCAGCCACTAGACCATTGTGGCGAAACAGTAATTTAATTGATATGTGGGGTTTAACGTCCCAAAACCACTATACGATTATGAGAGACGCCGTAGTGAAGGGCTCAGGAAATTTCGACCACCTGGGGTTCTTTAACGTGCACCCAAACCTGAGCACACGGGCCTACAACATTTTCGCCTCCATCGGAAATGCAGCCGCCGCAGCCGGGATTCGAACCCGTGACCAGCAGCCGAGTACCTTAGCCACTAGATCACCGCGGCGGGGCGAGGCAGTAATTTAGAATTTTGGCTCGCAACAATGGTGGCTTCCAGCCAAGCTATGCCTTCAGCCAGGCCCGTCTGAAGGCACGTTGTTCACGCCCATGTTTCAAGTGTTGCAGCTGACTGCAATGCAGCTGCCAAGTGATTGCCTCGTCACTCAAGTGTGCTCCCCATTCCCTTATTACAAATGTCTGTTCGAGCTAAGCGTAAATAAAAACATTTTGCCTGCGTAATGCTTTAGACGTTTGTCACTCATTGCATTGATGTTAGACAACCCGACCGAAGTTTTCAAACTAAGACGCTCTGGTACTACGAGGGTGTGGCTTGGCCCTGCTTATCTATTGTAAAAGAACTTGTTGCTGGGCTAGTTAAACCTAGTTTGCGCCCAAACACGCGACACATTCATGAACATACACACACCTAGGCATTGCTGAATGGGGCGCTGTGCATGCTTGATGCCTGGGTGTGTGTGCATGTGAATGTGTCGTGTTCGCGCAAACTAGTTTTTTTAAATGGCCCTGGTTAGTTCAGTACTCTCAGACCAACTTTGGACTGTCCAGCGAGCTGTTGACACTATGCAGGAGCAACAATTCTCAGAGGCACGGGAAGGCAAGCAAATAAGCCTTCCCATACACACAAGAGATAATTTAATCTAAGCCGATCAACAGAAGGGGCTACAAAAGCCTGCTGAATAATTTATTAACGGGCTAAGCTTTGCTGCTGTGAAGGGGTCGCGTGGCATCCCCGCGCCTAGTGTAACAGCACTTGCTTATTAATTAGAACTTAGCTGCAATTTTTCTAATAACCGCTGGTGAGTTAAGTCTTTCGTAAACATGCCATGGAATACATTCAGCGCATATCGCCAGAACCAGCCTGCTCCATACCACTGCGCAGAATTGAAACTATCCCATACAGCAAAGCACCCCCCTCCCTTCGGAGTTTGACTATTATGGACTTCGGATAAAACTGACATGTTTTGTTTAATTATCCCGGTTTCTTGTAACGAGAGTAAACTATCACAAAACATTTCAGTTTTATAACATGGTTCCTGGACAACATTCATTTTTCACCTCAATATAAAGAAGTATGTTCACCCGCGATTTCAATAAAATGGAATTTCGCTGCTGCTGCCTAGGAAGATCCAAGGCAATGAAGTGAAACTTCTGATAGTGCTAGGGGTCATGTGCCACGTGCCAAATCATGTGCCATGCGACACTGAGGTCATCAACTGGAACACTGTAGTCTGTGATCTATACCTCGAAAAAAGCTATTCAGTATTAGTGAGGAATAAATTTTCAGTCAATGGGATTCAAACTTATACACGCATACTGTATAAGTTTGTCCCTCACACACACAGTGAAGGATAATCTGACCATATTTGGGGGGGGAGGCCACTTGCTCACTCAGTTTTGGACCAGTCATTGGTGCTTGTTTGGCGCTTATTTAAGATCTCCTGAAAAAGCACGGGAGTGCTTGCTCGGGTGGGAGGTGCTTGCTCGACATTTTACGGCAGTGCAAATGGAATTTTATTTCGGTAAGGACACGACTGCAACAAGTTGCAAGCAATATTTCCTCGAGCAACTCTGAGTTACCAAGCACACTGCTATCAAGTCTATAAATTTATGTGTGTCTGTTCTGTGACAAAACCAACTAACAAAATAATTATTGAGCTAACGCATAGCTGCAACCAAAGTCTGCAATGCTCTAACAGCGACTCTTGGTGGATTCTTCCCTTGGTGCACGTTGTCACGGAACAAAAAACGAGGCCGCCATAAACAGACAATCTGCAATTCAGGTTATGTTGCTTTCACGTGGTTTGAGACATCACATACTTTCACTTTTCTCTGCTTTTTTTCCCTGTTTTGCATTCGACGCTTTTTTATGCTGAGCCTTTGCAACAGACTACATTCTCATGACGACCATTGCAGCAGCATAGGTGTCACAGCTGCGCCTATACTACTAGCGAGTGCATGCTTGACGACTTCGCTGAAATCAAATCTTGTTCACATGACCACAGGTTCCACAAAAATGACATTTTTTTTATGTTACTGGTCATATGTGCAGCAACAGAGTACGGTGCACCTACCATAGCACAACCCACTACAATGAGACTTGGGAGTTTTGCCTGCATGCCACTTGCCTTTAGCGATCGCAAACTGGCTCCGTGAAAGGCCACAGGAGAGATGAGCGTTGGGGGTACACCGGCCAGGGGTCCCGTGGGACAGACACAGGTGCGGCTGTTGAGAAGGAAGTTGAAGAGCGCCAGCGTCTCGCCTCGCTCGACAAACACCAGTGACCTAGGGCGACGATCATCCCTGGTCTCGTCCAGCCTAGTTGGCAGGTCGGGGTTAAGGAAAAGCTACGAGAAAGGTCAAAACACTGCCAAGCATCAAGCGTGTTTAATGTGATGCATAGTTAAATCTTCCCAGTGATCCAGTAAAAAAGAAGAGTGCAAAACAGCCAACTACAGGAGCTTGCGTTCACTATCCATGCGAGTGCCCATAAGCTTCCTCCAAATGGCACTTCCACAGCTGAAGCCACATTTCCATTACGTGAATGGCACTCTAAGCTAACAAAGCAGCCGTCTTTGCTTCGACTAGTGTAATTGCATAGGCATAGTGCTCACTGACTGAAAGACGATATTCAAGGGACCGACAACTGGCCAGAATGTCATTGGATCCCGAGAGAAATGAAAAGACCAGGAATTACAGTGACAAGATTCGAGTATCTTTATTACGATTGGAGTAGGATATGTTTTTTAAAATTGTGTTCAATAAAGCCTCCGGAAAATTATATGCCACATAGTTAAGCGGAAGAGCCCTGAAGCTGGATTATGGGGTTGTTCACTTTATTATACATTGTATAATGCTTTAATTCACAACATTATTAGTGCTTAAAATTAAAATATACATATTATCATCTATCCCCACAACATTGTGTTCTGTGTTGCTTACAAAGCAAAAGAAGTAGGACGCTGAAGGGCGGCACTGCTTTTGCAGCGATTACAAAATTGGCGCCCTCAGTGCTGTCGACAGCTATTTCAGTGCTGTTTGCCTTTTAAGAAACTGAAGTATAGGCTTGCATTCCATACTTAGCGGGCAGGAATTCCGTTGCCTATACTCGCGCAAGGGCATTTTTTGACGGGCCGTAACTGCAAGTAAAATCAAATAAAGCAACATGTTTTTATTGATTGTGAGAGGTGATGTGCAGGAAAATAAGTGGGGGAAAGTATAAAAAATACCACAAATGTTTTTTTTTTTTCAAATCGTTGTCAGAAGTTTCCTTGCATGCTCTTTTCTTGAAGTTAGTGCAATTATATCTATTTATTGAAACATTATTACTATAAGCTTTGGCAGATTTATAAAAAGCATGCTGAAAAAGTAATGCAAAATTTTCCCTGCCCAGTTATAGGCCCTTTCTAAAATAAAGGCCTGCAAACTAGGCAAAAAAATGTTTTATAGGTCAAATTCGAGAATTTTTATAAAAAGATCTACACTATGCAGAGAATCGAAATACAATTGATCGTAGTGCAAGTACACATATATATAGCTAAACAAATGAGAGGTACATAGCTTTAATATATTTCGTGTTTTTCACCTCCAAATTCAAAAAAAAAAAACAAAACAGCAGAGCAGGTATGTGTGGCACTCAACCTCTTCGTCATTATTGATTTACTGCGCTACGGAAAAAATTTTCCCAGCAAAACAAATTGCCAACAATATATAAAATCTTGGAATAAATTGAAGAGGTCTACCAGCCGCGCTTTGTTCGATCTTAGGGGGAATCACCCTTATATAAACTCTCCTGGCAGGTTTTTGCGTTCCCCGCCATGTTCCGCAACAAGTCCAAATTAATACATGTGCTTCTATGGAGTAATGGCGAGAAATGGAAAAACTTCGTTACATATAGGATTTTATTATATGGAGGTTCATATTAAACAGGTTTAACTGTACTTCAACGAAGTAAAACCCTCAACATGCAAATGTGCTTGCACTGTGAATATAGACAGCATAAGCTGCTGCCAACAGACCTAATGCATTTCATCTGCACAACCGTTATCACAATAAAGAACCGCGAAAGGATACATTTTGCTCCGCGATGTGTTGAGAGAAGGAAAGTCCGCCTGACTGAGGCCCAAGCTTTCCAACCAGGTCACCGTTTCCTCTTCTGGTGCATTCTCCTCTTGGCTGCAAATGTGACAGGTACCATCAGCACAAAAATGAAAAACGCCACATATTACCCGCACTGTACTATCAGACCACTATTATATCCCTGTCACACGGCCACCACCAAACTCCGTTGAACACCGTCAACGTAAATCTCCCCTAGGGGGTTCGACGGAGAAGGTATTGTGGCAGTGTCACACGGCAATGACAAGGTTGTAACAGTTGCCGCGAGGGGGCTCAGCTGGCGCTGTTTGATTTTCGGAAAAGCATTCTAATTTCATCTCTATTGATTTTTTTTTTGTGAATCCTCGTTATGCAGTTTTTACAAAAAGCACTATTTAGTAAGTATGCGAGTAACAAACCATTAAAAATACTTTCAAATAAAAATGCATTTGCTGCATGCAGCAATGCTCCTAGTGACGCTCGCATTCAAAGGCGAGACGTGCACCGGCGGCAAGCATGCAAAAGACAGAATATCAGTGGGGTTTTGCGTAAACATGACTGGAACCTACAAAACTCCAGCACACCTGCGCATTAGATATCACATCGGTATTCTCAGCATGCCATATCTCCAACATTTGTGGTTTAGGAGCAAAAATGTGATCAAAAGGGAGCCAATCAATGGATCATTATCAGTCTGCAAGCACTCATCGTAATTTTCTAACTTGGTACAAGCGACCACATCAATAGCGTGCTTACAGACTCGTGAAAGGCCGTTACACAAGAGACTCCAGAATTGTTTTCGCCATGTAGGCTTCACACTCCAACACGAGCCAGAGTAGAAAGGGCGTTTGATGAACTTCCATCCATAGATCTAAAGACGCTGCCTGCGACGATTTCTATGCTGCCGGCGTTTCGATTTCAGCCGAATTATCTTTGAGGGTTTTGCCAACGCTGACAAAGACCTCGAACTCTGTCGAATTGCCCGATGACGAAATCAATCATCGAGTTACGGAGGATTTCGGCAACCCTGACACCGAGAACAAAGAGAGTGTCTACAAAGCCGACAAGCTTGAAGTTGAAGCGAGCGCTGATACAGTCGAATCCGGGCACAACGAAGTTCACTTTAACGCACTTTCCGCAAGAACGAAGTTTTTTTCATTCCTCGTCGATGCCTCATAGGGTTCAGTGCTTTGAAATTGCTTCCAATACGAACGACTTCACAGCTGTGTTTCTACATTAACGAAGATTTAGGGGCAAAGCTCCTTATGGCATGGGTCTGTCACTCGCCCCCCTCCATATGTTTGTATGTATGTATGTATGTATGTATGTATGTATGTATGTATGTATGTATGTATGTATGTATGTATGCATGTATGTATGTATGTATGCATGTATGTATGCATGTATGTTTGTACAAACGTAGCCACGGGTGGGAAATGGGAGATGTCAGTACTTGGATTGTTCACTAGATGGATGCACGGACGAATGGTCAGACAAGCAGATGGACGCGTGGCTTGACGCGCGGACGGACGGATGCATGGGTGGACACTTCGCCCCACTCATCATCAATCACTCCGTGGATATGATGCGATTTTTTTTTGCAGGAACAACCATGAGCAAAAATCATTCACATTATAGCTTTCTAAAATTTTTAAAAAGGGTTTTAGTGCCTTGACAAACTATCAAATAACATAAGAAAGCACATGAAAAGCTGCTCGAAGCTGGCATACCAGGCGCGATTAGCCTTGTCGCGCAACTGTAACAAAACAAGGCCATCATGCCGTGATATGATGGCAATGCAATGTGCTCTCGCAGTCATGTAGGTTCAAAGAAAACGGCATGAATCTTGTCTGCGTAAAAGCAACATGCATAATTTGATTTCGATAGTATTTCTAATTGTTTTTTACGAAGCTTATAGGAATGTCTTTATTGTCGAGAACTACCAATTAATGTGGGTACAAAAACGGAATTGCGAGGCAAAACAAGGCAGGGTGCGGCGAGGCATTCGGGGTGACGGCTTCCAGCTTGACTAGGACTAGCTTCACATGTTCACAACACGCATGCATTGTTTCCCGAAGCTGCGGTAACAAGAACAATTATATTGCAGCCGGCAAAAAAGAGCGCGTGTTTGTCGCTTGAAGACAAGGCCCGCATTATCGCAGACGCTGAAGTCGGCAAGAAGAAGGCTCTCACCGCTCAAGAGTTTGCGATTGCAACAAGCTCCCTCTCAACTATATTGAAGAGCAAGGAAGCTATTAACAGAGCTCAAGCTGCAGGGACGTCGGCCAAACCTAACAAGGTGACCCAGCCAGTGCACGAAGCGCTGAATAAGGCAGTCTACACCCGATTCGTGGAGACGCGGGCCAACACAATAGCCCTTAGCGGTGATATTGTGCGGCAGGAAGCGCTGGATATTGCTTTTCTGCTCGGCATAGACAATTTCAAAGCCAGGGTGGCCTGGCTGAACCGATTCAAGCCCCGCCACAGTATCGTCGGCAAAAGGTTGTGTGGTGAAGCCGCTTCGGTGGATAACGATGGCGCTACCGCATGGATGTCGGCCAGCCTCGGAAGCCTCCTGAAAGACTATGCACCATCGGATATCTACAATGTCGACAAGACTGGTTTTTCTACGAGATTCTTCCACAAAAGTTTCTGTATTTTAAGGGGCAGCGCAGTCAAGGAGAGAAACACAGCAAAAAAAGAATAACTGTGCTACTTTGTGCTAATATGGTCGGCTCTGAAAAATGACCGCTGTTGGTCATCGTCGAAAGTGCAAAACCACGCTGCTACAAGGGAAATTTGAGCCTTCCAGTGTCAACAGCTGCGCGTGAATGACCCGTGCAATTTTTGGAGACCGAGTCCAGGAATTCGACCGGGACACATCCAAACGAAAGGTCTGTCTGCTTTTGCCAATTGTTCCGCGCACGCTGTTGAGGAGGCGGAGCTTGGGAACGTAGAGCTCTAGTTTTTGCTACGGAACAGCACTTTTGTTATTCAAATGCTCGACTAAGGCGTCATCCAAAGCGTGAGGTGCGCCTATCGTAAGCACCTTATTCAAAGGCTACTTTTAAACACCCGGTTGGGTTGCAAAAAATCTACATGTTTATAGCGCTTCAAATGATTGCCACTTCGTGGAGGGCGACAGCAAGTGCCATTGTCGTGAACTGCTTTCGCCATGCCGGATTCGATTTGTGGTGTGTCGAGACTTCAGATTCCGCAATAGACCCTCGTGATGATGACGGAGGTCACGATGAGAGTGAATTAATGGATGAAGAAGTCGCACTCACATGGGCAGACCTGCAAGAAAATGTGCCGGACAACGTCCATCTGAGCGAGTTCATGCAAGCGGACTCCTGCTTGATGGTGCGGGAGGAATTGATAGACGAAGGTATCATAAAGAGTGTACAGGAAGATGGTGTTTCGTCAGTCGAAGACGACGCATCTGCACAACGTACCGTATTTACTTGTGTAATGAACACACCTTTTTTCAGCAATGTTGACGCCAGGAGGAGGGTTCATTACGCGGGAGAAAAAAGTCACGGGAGTCATAACAGCGAAAATTTTAGGTGACGACTGCTTGTTCTGACTCGTGAAATGCGTGGCAAATTTTTTTCGTAGCCCGAAGCTTGTTTTGTTTCGTCCCGTAATGAAAGTGCATGGATCGACACCGAAGTGTCGTCCAGCCGCTCGGTTCCAATGCTCCAGCGCATGCTGTTAATAACCATTCGTGGAGCTAGCATACCGGCCGAACGCGCCCTGTGCAGCAGGTGTCCCAACTAAGTTCTCAACAACAAAAACGCAGTGTCAGATGGCGGCGCACAAACGTTGCATTAGACGTTTGCGGGTGCGCAAAGTGCCGTCAGCGTGGCTGGTGCAGTAGCGTTTTGCATAGGTCTCAGATGGCGAGCTTGCGCCGTGTTCCATGACGCAGCGCGAGCACCATTTTCGACACCACGTGCTTTGTTTTTGTGCCGCTGTGTATGCGTGGCGTTATCAGCAAAAAGGTTCCTCATGCACTCAACAGATGGCACTTTGCCATACAAGGCGAGACTTTCAAATCTCAATTGACATCGTTCCCGCTCGCGCTGCTCGCAACTGTTTAGCATGATTGCATAACTATCTTTGGCTTTCATTGCGGTGTTATTTAGTCATATAATGGGTTGATTTAGCGTTGTTTCGATCATTAACAGCACTGGCTATAATACCGAAATGAAATGAACAAATACAATGAAAAAATTTTTTTACCTTTTTTCAAGGATCAAGGTGGGGGGTGGGTTCATTACGCGAGTAAATACGGTAATTCCACACTGCCTCTGATTTATTGATATGTGGGGTTTGACGTCCCAAAACCATCGTATGATTATGAGAGACGCCATAGTGAAGGGCTCCGGAAATTTCGACTATCTGGTGTTTTCTAACGTGCACCCAAATCTGAGCAATGAGCATACATTTTCACCTCTATCGTAAATGCAACCACCACAGCCGGGTTTCGATCCCGCAAATTGCGGGTCAGCAGCCAAGTACTTTAGCCACTGGAACACTGCGACGGAGCGCGCTGCCTCTGACTTCACATGTGCTGGACGCATTCGACGTCATCAGACGTTGCATCGGGGTGCAGGATGACGACAAAGCTATGGCTCTGTTGGCAGCATGAGAAAATCGCGTTGTACTATCGCTTGGAAACAGGCAAAAACAGCAAAAGCTGGCCGATTTTTGGCATTAAACTTGCCTTTTTTTTTTTATGCATCAGTGAGTCGCGTGACTTGTATGTTTTTTTTTGCTTGAATTGCAACAACGAATTTTCACGACAAAGAATTTTTTCCTGCCCCATCAATTTCATTGTCCCAGGATTCAACCGTAACCCTGTGATCAGTGTACCGCTAGCGACAACATGACGTTAGCTGAAATTGAGGAAGACATCATCCCGGGCAAGCGGAATGCCACGAGAAAAAAAAGAGACCTTTTTGCGCCAAAATGTAAACCGATGAGGCGGCACCGGCCACGCCTGCATTCTCTTTAATATAAATGGCTCTTTTGAGAGCCATATAAAACGATCCATTCGCTGAACTGCTGAGCTAAGATGCATGCTGTCTGCTTACCCGTCACTCTTAGCTTCTGAAGGCGGAGACTGTGATGCACCGTCTGTCTCGTCCATCTGTTCTTGGCTGGTGCACAGAGGCATGCTGAACGTAATCCCTGGAAAAGACGGAAACAAAAGTCAGAACACAATTAAGAGAGAATGCAAGGCTCGGCTAACCTTTATTGAAAAAATTAAACAAGAACTCGAGAATGCACATCCTGCTGAATGCTATTTTAAGGCCCTGGTCTCCCCTTAAATACATTGCAAAAATAGAGAGCCAAAGTAAAACTTGAATCTCTTTTAATTAACCGAAAGTATGCGTTATCAGAGTTCGAATTATCTATCGCGAGTCTACTGTAGCTTGCTTGGAGGCCCCAATGAGGAAGATAAGCCGCTAGATGAACAGCCACGCGAAATACCAACAGTGGCACAAATGCAGAAAAGCCTATTGCAAAACAGAGTGGAGTGCGCGGGCAGCGACCGCGACCTCATGATCTGCCTGAACAGACTAGAGCAGGCACTCTTCGCGCCCAGCCGAAGCACCTGACAAAGCTAGCTGACCGACTTTTGTGCGTGAATAAGGGCTTGTTTCACTCAGTACAACTTCTGAGAAGTTGTCATGGCTAATTTAGCTCTACTTGATGAGCTTTTATGAGGCAGCCACGTATATCAAATTACTGCTTATATCGACTTCATTGTGATGAGCAATTACTGCAGTCTACTCTCGTGACAATGGACTTTGATAATCTTGCAGACAAGTCCGTTCTATCCGAAGTACAGCAGGGGGAGGGGGGTTGCGTTGCCAAGGGACGACAGTTTCGATTTCACTCAGCAGTATGGGACAGGCTACTTCTGCCGATACATGCAGAATGTGTTCGACAGCATTGTTACTAAAGACTTCAATCACCAGCAGCGGTTATTAACAAAATTGCAGTGCATTGTAATTAATTAACTAGGTGCAGGGATGCTATGTGGCCCCTGCAAAGCTTAGCCTGATAATAAAGCATTTCTAGCAGGCTTTCTCTATTGATCGGCTTGGAATAAATTCATATTTGTGTGGTTGGGAAGGCCTATCTGCTTTAATGGAGCCGCCTATGGGCCACATGGGAGCTGTTGCTCTGGCATGACCTCCACGGCTAGCTGAACAGTTCAAAGTTGGTTTCAGAATTCTCAACTGAGCAGCACCAAGGCACTTCTCACAGTAATAATAGTATTCTACCTTCACAGTGAGACTAGCCTGCTTGGAGTACCATAATTTCTTACTTTTGAAACTGGTCACGATGCCTAACAATGTTACAGCAATGAATGACAAAAGCAAAACACACACACATAAAAAAGACCTTTTTTTACACTTAGCCCAAACAGAAATTTGTAATAAGAGACTGGCGAGCATATTGGGCGATAATGCGATCACATTGTGCCACATTTCGGTCAGTTGCAACACAAACTATTGGCATAACCAACGCAGTTTCAGACTGGTCTGGCTGGAGGATTGACTTATCCAAAAGCTACAAATGTTGCCGGCCACAACTATTGAGGCTTCAGTGCACAGTGAGCAGCATGCTCATGTCTATTGTCATCCCACGCCAACATGGCAATTTATGCACCCTATTTCCGAAAAAAATGCCGCTCATTTTGTCTTCTGTAGCCAATAGCCAGTTGTATCGCAATCTTAAGATAACTTCACTGCATTAATTTAATACACAGACCAAACTTAGGTGGAATAATCGTCCATTATAACCGAAAGTCTGTTGTACATGGGTCCGTTATAATGAGCATAGACTGTATAAAAAAAAAATCGCGGTGATCGCTCTGTATAGGAATCGGAACACGAAAGTGAAGTGTATCTGTACAGAGGTACAGAGGTGAGTGTTTATTGTGCATTGTTTAAGCAACAGCAACGAATTGTAAAGTCCCGTCAGGAACGGCAAGCTGCTCAAAACTTGCAGTGCACACCTCAGCAGAAAGCACGAATGAAATTAGCGCACACAGGACGAGCACGGACTAACAACTGTCACAATTCTTCCAGCGTCGTGTGTCAGCAGCGCGCTACTTTCATAAACAACCTTCGTCGTCTCCCGAATTACAAGTCTGATAAACGCGCATGCACAGGAGAAAGCCCGCTCCTAGGGACCGTGCAGGCAGAGCTTTGCAGAGGCGGCGACCTTGAGAGCACGACAAACTCGAGACCGTCGCATCATCTCGTCCCTAATAACGAAAATACGCTAAAGTTCGGAAGCTCTGAAGACTGCCAAACGGTGTATAGAAATGGCTTGCCGTTTGCACTCCAGACAACGAACGCTTTGTGGCATAGTGGTTAGCACCGCGCGCTGAAAATAGAGAGGTTGCTGGTTTGATTCCACGTGACGGATATTTGCTTTCTAATTTTTTGTTTGCAATTTCTTAGTATTTATCTCAACATCACTTCCATGCGGAAGTACCGTATTTACTCGATTCTATCGCGCCCTCGATTGTAACGCGCACCCAATTTCCACCGCCAAAAAAAAAAAAAAAAAAAAACATAAGACATCGATTGCAACGCGCACCCATTTTTTCTCGCTGGCCCGCACGGTCACACCACTCGAAAAAACGACTCCTTTCGGGAGCGTCTTCCATTTAAATATGAGGTACGGGCGAAGCTTGTGCCCATCTGACGTGTAACAGAGCATTGCCGTCACTGTAGTTTTACCGTGGACCGATGTCAGCACACGAACTTGCTTCGCCCCCTTCTTCTCGACGGTTGTGGTGCCAGGCATGTCGAAGTAAAGAGGCGTCTGATCGGCATTCCCGATTTGCCCAAGCAGGTAGTCGTTGTTGCGCCGCAAGTTTAAGACGAACCTCTGAAAACTGTGAAGCTTTTCATCGTACTCCTCCGCAAAACTTTTCGCATATGCATGTTCCCCTTCGGAGGGAAAAGCCTTTTCTCTTCGTAAAGTTAGTTAGCCAGCACCTGCTCGCTTCAAACTGGCTCCGCATTAGACCTTTTTCTAAGACTAATTGCATAGCCCGCACTTGGAGCAGTTCTGCCGTCACGGGCTGCTGTGCTGCTCGCTGCTAAAGCACATACTCGCCGAGCAGCTCTTTAATTTGCGGAAACCGACCCTGCTGTGGTCCACTGAAGCCTTTGCGTAAAGCTTTGCTGTCGAAAATCTTCTGCTTTTGTTTCCGCCGGTCCCGCACGCACGTTTCGGGAACTCCGAACGACCGCGATGCGGCCCGATTTCCGTCCGTTTCTGCACACGCGATGACTTTTCTTGTAAAAGCGGCATCGTGGTGCACTCGAGTTTTTGGAGTCGGCCATTCCACGCCGTCGATGCTAATGCACTACTAGATGACGAACTCCTCAGCACACGTACGAAGTGCCGCACATGAGAAACATAGGCAGAAATGGACGATGCGCCATGCCGACGCACGTAGGGGGCGGCCATTTTAGATTTGCCGATGGCAATAGATTGGCCGTAATTTTTTTGTTCGTACTCTATTCTAACGCGCATGCGATTTATGAACTCGCTTAACCGGAAAAAAGGTGCGCGTTAGATTCAAGTAATTACGGTACATCAGCAGAGCCATGGTGGACCCTAACATGGAACACTTTCCAATTGAAAAACTTTAAGCCGCATGTCTCTTTACCATGCAGCTCATGCATTAGTAGTTCTATTTAGTATTGCCTTTCTCTTGTTCTGAATAGCAATTTCATGCAGTTTCAAAGGGCCCCAGAATTGTAATCAGGTGGCAAAGTGGGCGAGTTGGAGTATGCTCATGGTGACCAGTGCAGACAATACACAGGACTAGATGCAGCGACTGTGTCGTCTGCATTCCTCTAGCCCTATGTACTGTTTGTGCTGGCCATCAAAAGTACTCCACTAAATATCTGCATCATTTTCCTGCAGATAGATACCTTTGGTCACACTGCCCACTAAGTCTCTGCAGGCGTATGAACTCAGCATCATATATACAGTAAAAGAAAGCTCTCAAATACGAATGTCTGGATATCTTTGCCAGTGAGAGAATTCTGCAGCATTCGAGGCACATTCCTGCTAAGTCTTAAAAAGACCAGAAGAGCATTGTCTTTTAGTGAATTTCAGAACACTTCCAATATCAGATATCCTGGTCCAGAGAAAGTCTATTGCATTGGCACATTGAAAGCGCCTCCCATATCTTTCACTGGTGGATTCACAGCGGCTGCTCCACCAAATCAACTTCACAAAGCAGCACTCTACTTCATGGAAATCAGCAGAGTCAACCTGAACTGTCAGAATGGGTTGCACGCAGAATAGGGCACGACTGTGTACCATGTAACCACGCTGTTCTAGCAGAGTTCAGCCTCTCCAAACCTACCATTACAATTCATCCTCACATGACAATGCTTTCACCAACCTTCGTCCCGGAGTGCCTGCCTGAGGCCCCGTGTTGTAGGCGTCATCAAGGCATGCAAGTCGGCCAGGCCGGCCACACCCGCAGCCCGAAACAACACTGTGAACGTGGGCGCGCAGACGTAGAAGTAGGGGCACTGGCGGGCGCGAAGCAGCTGGTACAGGGAGCGGAATCCCTGTGCCCAGTCCCCTTGCAAGGCGGTCCGCGCAGGGCTGGCGGGGTCAGCAAACAGGGAGGTCGCCTCCTTGGACTTCGACACGTTAGCCATCACCCCGTGTCGGGGAAACAGCCGCATCCAGGGCAGGTGCGGGTGCATCCACACAAGGCAGTTCTGGTGGAAGCGTGCCTGTGGACTGCTGTCTAGGCTCCCTCGCTGCACCAGAAACAATATATGGCAAAACTTTTGTTGGAGGAAGAATGAGGCTCAACAAATTCACACAATACAACCTCATGATGAAGGGCTTCAGTTTCTTTAGTACTGTATACTCTAAGGCAGGTAAACAATGTCATTCAAAACAAAACAAAACAACAAAAACAATTATCTTATCAAGAGAAGTGCATCCTACCATTCATTGATCCACCACAACAGATTCAAATGTGTTTAAAGGGACACTGAAGTAAACTATTAAGTCGACGATTGTTGAAATGGCATTCCAGAAACCTCGTGTTACTTTTGTGCTAAGGAAGGACATATTTTGAAATAAAATCACATTTGAGTGGTCCGCATCGGGTTAGTGCGCTTTAAATTACCTGCCTCAAAGAAGCGGACCGACCTGTCCATCTCACATCACTGTTGCCGTGCACAAAGTTGCCCGGCTTCACTGCGCTAGGAGCAACATACCGAAAGCAGTGAGAGCCACAGCAGCAAAAACGGCCATTGATAAATTTCCCTGCATTGGCTCAGAGATTGTAGACGCTTTTTTTTCAACTGCATGCCGCTAGATGGCACCACCCATCTCATGTAACCACGCGAAAATTTAATTTTCAAACCACTCACGCCATTTCCCATAGTAACGTCCGGTGGTTCTATTTTCCATGAATCAAACAGAAACGAATAAGCTGCATTTTATTGCCTCTCTTAATGTACCGAAAGTGCTTTATTCAATGCAGTTAGATCGATTACTAGTGATCAATTGTAGGCAGTCCGTCTGATGTCATCGGGATCATTTTGAACATGTCCTACTGCGGCGCTTGTGTTCTTGTGCACTTACCTCAATTTCTCGGTAAGTAGGGTACTGTAGTTGATAATATTGTCATTTTAGGTGCTGTCATACATTGAGCTTTCACTCTGACGTAAGTTGTTATTTGACTTTAATGTCTCTTTAATCTGCCAAACAACTACAGGAGCTGCATATGAACTGGGAACTTTGTTTTGAACTTGATGTATGATGTGTGTATACATAATATGTATACGAACGGAGATGTGTGTGTGCAGAGAGGTGTACATACATTATAATTCTAACTCTAATACTCAAAACTTTCGGTTAATTTAAGCAAATCTTGAATTTCTGGTTGATCCACTATGTTTTCAATGTACAGTAAAAGCTCATTAATTCGAACTCGAGGGAAACTATAAACTGGTTTGGATTAAGCAAAGTTCAAATTAGTAGGCGGGTACTAAAACGCACAAACAATGTGCCACAATGCACATGCAGAACGCAAAGCCACTTCTGGGCTCGTTATCACCAACTAGGCACTACTACACCTTTGTGGCAGGCGATTTTGTTGATTAAATGGAGCTTGTAACAGCAAACAAAATTCATTCCCCAGTCAACAATACACCACAGACAAACTCCAGCATTCATACAAGGGAGCAGTGGGCCTTAAAAGCCGAATTATACGACGCTATTTATGCTCCAAAATGCATTTATTACATGGTAGGGTTAATGCAATGAAATTTAAAAGTATTTGGAGTCTCTCCTGTGTGTTCTCTGAACCAGAACAAGGTTCATTCAACAACAACCATCCGTAATTTTTATTTGCTTGCATTCTTCTGTCGCGACCCCATGAGCATCAATTGTAGCTTGCCAAGTGCTCCAGTGGAGCATCCGAAATATTATCTCCTAAGAAATGCTGCCCTTTCGTTTTTTTGGCTCTTTAATGAATTCAGTTTGGTTTTGCAACACACTGTGATCCCTCTGGGCCAACTTGATTGATAGATATGTGGGGTTTAACATCTCAAAACCACCATATGATTATGAGATACGCCATAGTGGAGGGCTCCGGAAATTTTAACCACCCAGGGTTCTTTAACGTACACCCAAATCTAAGCACACAGGCCTACAACATTTCCGCCTCCATCGAAAATTCAGCCGCCGCAGCCGGGATACGAACCCACGACCTGCGGGTCAGCAGCCGAGTACCGAGCAGCCGAGACCCCCACGGCGGGGCACTCTCTGGGCCAACTTATGCGTGGAGCAACGAAAAGCGGAGGCACCGAGTTCTAATTAACCGTCATGAAGAGCAAGCTGTTCAAATTATTGGGAGTCTGCCCATATAGATACACAGGGCTCTGACTGGACTAGGGCGTCAGTTTGAAATACAGTAAAAGCTCGTTTATCCTGTGTATATTTAAATGAGGGGTAAACTGTGTATATTTAAATGAGGTCAAATGCTGATTAATTCGGAGGGAAGTAGCCACGCACCGGTTATCTCGGACAACTCCGGAGAGGGCTATCGGGACTCCAGAGTCTCGCGATCTTTGCGGCTTGGAGGCTCAAGCACCGCTTGCCGTAACCGACGGAAGAACCGGAGTTTTGGAGAAACCAAAACCGAGCGAACTGCAGCAGAATGTGAGGATGATGATAGTGAATGAGGGGGAAGTTGCTAGGTGGCGCTAGTCACTACCCGGCAAAAGCGCTCGGGCCACCGGCACATCTAGTGTCTACTAACAGCTGCTCGCTACGCCCATGCTATGCCTACTTGTGTACTACTTCGTGTCTTGGTTCTTTGTGTTGCGACTTCGCATGTTGCAGCTGTGTTTGTGCGCGTTGTCGCCGCCGTCGCGCTTCATGGCGACAGTCACACAAGCGGCCACAGCAGCCACCAAATGTTCTTGAAACAAAGGTTATGATATTGAAAGACATGATGAGCCGACGGGACGTCGCTGCACCGTGCAGGAGGCGGCCGAAGCCCTCACTGTCCTCGAGGAGTTCTGCGTTTGTTCTCGCGACAGTGAACGTGCGCACCACCAACTGATGCGATTAAATAAGATAGTTCTGTCAGAAATTCTGACGGCGAGGCAGGCAAAAATTACGCTTTAAGAAATAAAGGTTTGTCTGTACCGTGTGCGTTTTCCTTCTGCTTTCATGGTCCGTTCGATAATTCGGAATTCGTTTAACCCGGACATTTTCTCCGGTCCCGTGAGATCCGAGTTAACAAGCTTTTACTGTAACATCAAGGTCAAATTTACAGAGCTCAAATTATCGAGCTTTTACTGTGCTTCAACATCACTTGATTCAAACATTGCACATTTCGGTTTACTGCTTATCTATGCATGAAAATATACGATGCCTCTGTTGTTTATTTGAACAATCACATTTTTATGCAACTTACAGTCACAAATAAAACCAATTGTCAGCCTACAAAAGTCAAATTTTCCGAACCACAAGCACTGACAATCGCAAACGAAGTGGGAAATAACTACTGGAACGGTGTGGCCTTGGTCTTTAGCATGCCAAACACTTATTAAAGTCACTTTCTCTGCCGTACACTAGTGTCATGGCAGGAAGCGTTCTAGCAATGAAAAAGGGCTAGCAGCTTTCGCAGGACGCAGCACATTTCACCCCCTAATTACACAGATTGCATAATAACGGGAACTAGTATAATCGCTGGCACCTGAAAACTTACTGGCAATCTCTAAGAACTACCTATGATGTCACTGTGGCCCTGAGAAACAAACATCACAACGCTAGATACTGACTGATAATTTTGAGAACTTCTAATAACTTTTGCAAATTCATACGAAATCCTGAGGTCGCCTAAGGATTGAATTATTAATAGGCCACAGCAAACAAATATGTCACTTATGAGAAGCTAGTACTGCAGTGCACTCAATGTGCTATGTTTATGTTCACTGCCATTATTGCCTTATAGACACTCTCGCATAGTCACACTGTGTGCTTACAGACGTACCTCTCAAGGTAGCCTTCAACAAAGTATTGTATTTACTTGAATAATTTTCATACATTTTTTTTTTAGATTTTTGGAGCTCTGAAAAGGGGGTTCACAAATTACACGGATTTCACAAATGCATCCAGTATGCGTGCAGTGTAGTATGCGTGCAGTATATACATTTAAAAAAGTTGAAGCATGAACGGAGTGCACGTGTTTATTTTAACAGAATTAGCATGTACTTCAACCAGCCAGATCCGATCATGCGCTGTTTAGTCGGAATCGCTGGTCGAGAAGTCTAATTGAGACTCACCGTCGCGGCCGCTGTCACCACCCTCCCAAAGCGCGTCCTCGGTTCCATTGAGCGCATTCAAATGCTCCAATTTCTTGAAGCTCTTCCCAAAATTGCTGAGAGAAACCGGGTCCCACATCACAACGATACCGTAGGATCCAAGCTTTCGCACATAATTGAAGAGGTCTTCCACGCAGCACGAAACTTGTATTGGCAAGCACAGCCTCTGCTGCTTTCTTGCGTACCAATCGGGCTGCAGTGCTCGGCAGCGGCAGGTTTCTCTTTTTTCGAGAAATGTTATAACAGCAAGCTTGAATTTCGAAGCCCATTACTAGGAAACTGTAAGAACGCAGCGGATGGATGGCGAAATCTAAACTTCCGAAATCAACCAAGCGTGCGTTGCAGCGCGGACGCACAGAACGAGGGGAGCAGTAGGCGCGACAGGCCCTCGCACTTCTCAGATGCAGAAAATTGCCCATGCTGTGATGCAAGCCGGCACTCCCACGGTGAAAGAGATGGAGAGATAAGGGGAGGCTAACTGTGGAAGAGATGGAAAGATAGAGGGAGGCAAACGCTCGAGCAGTCAACAGGTTTGGGGAGAGAACAGTATTTTAGGGACCATATAGTCCGTGGGGAAGTCCTCGGAAGAAGGAACTTGGCACTCTCAGCCTGTTTTATGTATGACCGTGGTCGCCTACTCTGTACAACCTGTGCTCGGTGCATTCGTCCAAAGCTTCAGTAGACTTACTGCACGCGCCGGCGAGCTGGTTCGTGTAAGCGCAAGATACGAGAGTAAATATATTTTTTTAATAAAGGCAAAAAAATATTAGGGGTGTGCAAAACTTTTGAGGGTGCAAATCATGCGAGTAAATACAGTAATATGTGGAAGTTGTAAACAAATCTTGTGAAATCTTGCATGATGATTCAGACTCGTCCCCTAGTCCTAGCAAGCAAACGCATAACTTAAC